TTTATGGTGCACTTACTTCTCTCAGTCTCACTTGTACTCTTTTTTTTTTAATGGTAGAAGGATTTTTTTTTGCTCCGAATGCCTTCAGGGCAGGTTTGGCTGGCTTGAGTTGTGGGGATCGAACCACAGCAACCTGAGCCTGACTGCTTTGTTGAAGCAGCCACTTAAAGAACTGAGCTAAGGAGCAGGCCCCCAACTCTTTCTTTTTTTAAAGCTAGTCTCCCTAACTAGGTCTCCCTAGTCCAGGCTGTCCTTGAATTTGCAGCAATCATGTCTCAAGTCTCTCTAATGCTCGGATTACAGGTGTGTGCACCACCGCGCTCGGCCGCCATGCTCTTCTTGCGTACAGCCCCTGCACTGTCTGCCTGTTACACTCTTTTTCTCCCCTAGCCTCTTGCAACTCTCAGCCTAGTCTTCCTTCAGGAAGCCATTCCTGCTATACCTCTCACACTTAGTCGGGTTCACTTCCCTCCTGGTGTAATCCCACACCTGTGTTTCACCTCTCACAACCCTTCCTGTTGTAATTGTCTGACTCTATCACCTCCAGCCACCAATTACTCCTCCACTTGATCTACAGTTCCCCAAAGGCACCAAGGTATCTGCTCTGTTCAGCTTCTCAGCAGGCTCTACTTCACAGCAGGAACTCAGCAAATGTTTATTGGATGACACTAAGACTGCTTGGTTAAAAGCTCAGCTCTATCACATTCTAGCTGTGGACATGGACAAATCTCTTTGATATAAGGGAATGAAACCTCCAAAGTGAAAGTTACCTGGGACAAATGTGTGCTTTCTAAAACTGAAGAATGAATTTTAGGAACAAACGGAGGTTAAGAGCAGAATATTGAGGACACCCAGATGGCTCAGCAGATTAAAATGCCTGCTTAGGCAGAGCCCAGGGGCCTGGGTTCCATCCCTGGCATGCTGTGCTGGGCCCCGCCCCTGGGGCACACTGAGACGGTGACTGAGTCTGGGTGTGTTGGCCCATGCCTGCAATCCCAGCGTTTGGGAAGCTGAAAACAGGAGAATCACCACGAGTCCGATCTATGTAATGAGACCCTGTAGACCCTGTACTAAATACATTTAAAAAAAAAAAAAAAAAGAAAAAAAGAGTATTTACTGGGAGAAAGAAAGCTTCCGTGAGAGACAGTAACAGAAGTGGGACCCTAGTGAGTTGCCCCCAGAAGCTGTCCCTTCCAGGGATTTTTATGGAGCAAAATCACGTGGTGAGGCAGTTCTAAGATGGAGAACATGGGAACTCGCTTAGGTGGGCATTAGGTGGGACAAACCTACGGTCAGTCAATGAGATCACAAGCACCGTGCTCAGGCCAGAAAACGGGACAGGGTCTCTTCCTGTTGGGAATTGGGTTAGTGACTCTTTCTAACTGATTGATACCTATTTAGAATATCAATCCCTGATGCCCATCCCTAGGGAAGTATGTGGCTGCGTTTGTTGACTCTTTCATCTTGAGATCTGGCCCATAGTGGGAGTGTCCGTATCTTCTAGAGTTGCAAAGTCACCTTGTCTTCCATATTGTCTCCTTGACGGCCTCGCCCTGTCTACCTATAATATTTCTGATTTAGTTGCCTACAACATCTTAACGTCTGCTTCCTGCTCTCCTGTAAACCGGAACAGTAACAATACCTTTGGAGTAAAGTTGTTGTGAAGAGCCAAGTACTTAAGAACATGCACACAGTTGATTATTAATTTTTTTTAACATTATCTTTTCCTAGCACTCAACCCACGCACCCGGGAGGCCAAGGCATAAGAGCACAGCTCTTCCTCCTGCACAAGAGGACTCCACTAACACCCCTCTGGACACACCGGTGCCGGCTTCGCCTCGTCTGGGCTTTGACGCATGCCAGAGGTCCATCGAGGAAGCCGAGGCCGTGAGGCCGGGAGGGGGCGGGCCCGGGAAGGCCCCGCCTCCACGTGAGGTCAGCGCGCTCCGTGGCGTGTGACGCTCCTGTTGCCGCAGAGACGCCCCGCCTCCGCGCGGCGCTGCGGAACCAGAGCTCCGGGCGGCGTCGGAAGCTGCACGGGAGGCGGAGAGGCCGGGACGGCAGTAGCTGGCGCGGCAACCACAGCGAGAGCAGCGGGGACTGAGCAGACCACGACGAAGGCGCACAAGCAGCAGGGCCGGGCCGGGCCACGGGCAGAGCGGCCGCCGGGAAGCGGTCAGGCAGCGGGCAGCCGCCGAACCGCGAGGCGACATGGTGCTGCTCAAGGAGTAGTGAGTGTCCGGGCGACCGTGCGGAAGCGGGGAGGGAGGAAGGGTCGGGATGACGACCAGGAAGGCTGACGGCCCCGCGTAGGGAAGGACAGCGCGGATGTTGCTCCGGGGAGGCTCGGCAAGGGCGGACGGGATGTCGGGGGCCAGGCAGGGCCTGAGGGGCTGGAGAGACCCGGACGGCACGTGAGGTGGGGCTCCGGGGGCCGCGAGGGCCGAATAGGCCTAATGAGAGGTCAAGGGGACGGTGAGTGCTGGACAGGGCCAGAGTTTGGGTTAGCGGGACAGTGAGAGCCGGACAAGGCGTGAGGAGGTGCTGAGGGAATCGAGAGGATTGGATGAGAGAGACGTGGGGTGGTCGTTCAGTGGAGGCTGAGGGATGACGAGGCCAGCTGAAATTACAGGAGGGGCTGAGAGGGTTGGCGGGAGACCAGGGAGTTATCCCAAGGCCGAGGAACAGTGGGACAAGGGCAGTAGGGCCAGTGAGCAGGCTTGCGGTCGGGAGGGCTTTGAGGGCTGATCAGTCGGTGGGGAAGATCAGATAAGAGGTCATTGATGGAGCAGAGATAATGGGAGGAGTGCTCAGGTGGAGCCTGGAGTGTGGATAAGTGACTGCCTTAGACAGCAGTGGGGGGAGGAGTGTAATAAGTGGTGGTAAGACAAGGACTAGTCAGGGCCGGGCTTGGATGACCGAAGGTGCTGAAATAGGGGGACCCAAAATGGCATGATGCCCAAATTGTAGGTTGAGAAAAGGAGGGATTTGGATGACTGTTTTGGACTTGAGGCCACTTGTGTCAAGAGCTTAGAATGTATTTGTGAATATATCTATTAGTGAAGGTGGCTGAGACCAGGACAGGACCAGCCAGTCTCTGGATTCTCTGGCCAGTGCAGAGAGATGGAGAAATTGCTTTGAGGAGTCGAGATTTCCATAGAGCCATTAATTGAGGAGAGATGGTGAAGGAATTTTTAAGTACTGTCTTGAGGATGAGAAACTGGTGATTTTACAAAGAAATCAGGGAGATGGGTTTACTCCTGAAATCCAGGGGACTGAATGCCAGGTGAGAATGTTTGGATTGTTAAATCCTTCAAATGTGAAGTGAGGGGGACAACTTGCTCAGCACCCCTCTTTTGTCTGTCTCTTGGACAGAATCTTTCTTTCTCAAAATATATTCTGCTCATTAAAAAAAAAGACAAATGTAAAATGATCCACCTTTAAAGTTCATGGTTCCAAGAACACAGTATTTTTTTTCTTCCCTTCAAAATAGGCGAGATTGAATGTTTTGTGTCAGGAATTTACAGTGAAACTGTCTCTGGAAGGAGGGCAAGTGGGCAGTATTGGGGTAGAAGCCTTGGAAATCAGATCCACTTGGCCAATGTCCAAGCAGAGAGAAACTTAAGGAATTCTTTAGGTAGCCAGGCAGTGTGCAAAGGGTTCATTCTTTTTTTTTTTTTTTTTTTTTTTTTGTGGAACCAGGGATTGAACTCAGGCCCTAGTGTTTGCCCAGGGAAGTGCTTTTTCTACTGAGCCAATCTCCCCAGCCCCGGGTTCTTTCCATTTTGTTGGTGAAGTCACTTTGTCCAGACCTGTCTGGAGTGCTGCTTAGGTGTTCAGGACATTTAGGAGTGTTCACTTGAATAATAGAAGCAAAAACTTAGGTACCAGGGCTGGGGAGATGGCTCAGTAGGATAAGCACTTGACTGGCAAATGCAAGGATCTGAGTTCAATCCCTGGTTCCGCAAAAAAAAAAAAAAAAAAAAAAACTTAGGTACCTCATGTGAAGAATGTGACTTGAAGGCCGTATCACCTCTTTCTTGACATCCAGTTTGATATTTATTTATTTTTATGTATTTAGTACAGGGTCTCACTACACAGATGGGACTCATAGTAATCCTCTTTTCAGTCTCCCAAGCACTGAGATTACAGGTGAGCACCACCATGCCCATTCTCAGTCACAAGAGGGGGCAGGGTCAGGGCCAGCAGGGCATGCTGGGGATCCAGCTACTGAGCTCTGCCTAAGCAGGTACTTTAGATCACTGAGCTATCTGGCTGACCCTTACATCTAATCTGATATTTTTTTTTAATTTTTTTTATTTTTTATTTATGCGTGTGTGTGTGTGTGTGTGTGTGTGTGTGTGTGTGTGTGTATGTGGCCAGCTCAGCTCAGCCCACCAGGGGGTGGGGGCTGGCTGGCATGTGGTGCTGGGGGATTGAACCGCGGTCCCTGTGCTTTGCTAAGCTTGTTTTAAATAGGTGCTTTAGACCACTGAGCCATCCATCTCACCAGCCCTCTAATCTGATATTGATGTAGCTCAGAGTTATTGTAATGAGGAGGAAAAACCTAGGATGCCAAGACTCCAAGGAGAAGAACATGGTACACTTTGCTTTTTTTTTTTTGTATTTTTAGGGAAGGGTCTACAGGGTGTTCAGGGTCTCACTACTAGATCAGACTCATAGTGATCTGCCTGTTTACAGCCTCCTAAGAGCTGGGATTACAGGTGCTACCACGCCCAGTATCAATTGCTGTCACAGTGCGCCCCAGGGGTGAGGCTGGCCCAGCAGGCCCGCAGGAATGAACCCCCCTGGCCCCTGCTTGCAGGTGCTTTAATCTGCTGAGCTATTTGGCTGGCCCTCACTTGGCATTTTAATTTTTACTGTCCAAACAGTCTTCTCTAGTCTTCTGATCTTTTTTTCCTATTCTCAGATGGAATCTAGAATCTGTAGAAATATGCAGTTTTGAAAAAAAGGGAGGGGAAAGGAAAAGTCCTCAGAAGAGAAGTGAGTTTTGAAGGGAGGAGATACTCTCTTCCCATTCTTTGTTCTTCCTTTGAAGCCCACCAGAGAAGCTCAAAGTATAGGGATGCAGAGCAGACCTAACATCTGTGTTTCCTTCCTGCCTGCATTGTGCCCTGTGCGTAATCCTGGGCTAGAGACGGTGGGAGGACAGAGCTGAGATATTTGGCTATGGCTGCAGAGCTGCAGCTCCAGGAAGGATATGAGTGAAGGTCAAACTAGTGAGCACAGCTCTAAACCCAGCTGTGCGCCTGAGTCTCTATGATTTGGAGTTGTACCCTATTGCTCATGAAGTGGCTTTGTTCCCAAGGAGCATGGGAGAATTTTGGGGGAGTGGTACAGTAGTGATGCAGCCCCCCGAGCATCCTGTGAAGAATGAACTGGTTGATGCCAGTTTTGGGGGAGCAGGGTGGGTCTAAGGGTTGTCCCTACTGATATTTTTTACACTTCCGGCAACAGGATTCTGCCTGATTTGATTTCTGCAAATTCTTAGATGTGATTTCTACTGTGTACTTGAAGATAAAAGGCATATTGTTTTCTAGGAAGTTTCTTTTGAGGGTACAAAAATTCAGGCCTCTGGGTTGGGAGTATTTTTCTGCACCATTGGCTTTCTCTAATGGGAGGAGAGTGTTAGTGGCAGCATCCAATGAACTAGAGGATTTACATTATTTGAGTCCTTCTGAGAAGGGGTTGTTAGCAGGCAGTGATGACTTGGAGCCCATTTTGTTTTTCCTGCTGCTTTTCTTCTTGGTACCTGGCCTTTACTGTGATGTTTTCCTCAGATCCCTCTATGTGCTTCTTGCTTCCTGGGGAACCTTTGTGGAACTAAAAAATAGCAAGCTGTTTAGCAGCCTGGAGAAGGAGACATGCTTGAACCTACTGCACTGCATAGGAAAGAACACATAGCAACTCATGCTTCACCAAGCAGGCACACAAGATGCAGAAGGGCTCAGAGGGTTCCAGCAAGGCTCTGAAGACTGCAAATCTCAGCGTGGGAACTGGCTTAACTTGATTGTAGGAATACATCCAAGCCTTTTTCTCTCGGCTCTCTCCTCTCACAGCATCAAACTGGGGGGGTGGCCATTAGTCTGTGTTAGAAAAGCAAGCCACCCACAGAAGTGCCCATAGCCCACACCTGATTAGAATTCAACCCCCTCATGGGGCTTTTGCTGACCATGGCTTCTCCACTAGGTTATTGGTGGTCCCTCCAACAACTGATGGTGGTCATTGAAATGTAGAAGAGGGGGCCTGCCCCTTAGCTCAGTTAAGCGGCTGCTTCAACAAAGCAGTCAGGCTCAGGTTGCTGTGGTTCGATCCCCACAACTCAAGCCAGCCAAACCTGCCCTGAAGGCATTCGGAGCAAAAAAAAAAAAAAGAAAGAAAGAAAGAAAAAAAGAAATGTAGAAGAAAAGAAAGCAGTCAGAGTGTCTTTGGGCAGCTTTCAGAGGTCATAGACAGTTGGGTGCCCTTTTTTGGAAGCTGTATAGTTTTAGTTTACATTGAAATATCCTACTCCAGAGCAGAGTTGGTTGGCCTGTACTCTTAAGGTGATTAAGTAAGTCCCCAGGGAATTTAGCCCCTTCCTAGCCTTTTACCATAAGGGCTTTTACTGGGGAGTTGGTTCTTCAGAGATGCAGATCCCTAAGGCATGGCTTTTGGGGTCAGAAAACTAATTGTGGGTCACTTTTTTGTTAACGTCTCTGTTTTACTAGACTTATTAGCAAGTCTTATTGGAGCAGAGATGGGTGATGGAATGGGAGAAGAGGACAGCTTCACTTGTGAGTCAGAGGCCTGGGAAGTAGCTAGTTGGGCACTGAGGTTTACAGTGAATCACAGGATTCTAAATGGGATGCTAGAAGGACACCCAGGACAGCCTGGTGGGCCTTTGTTAGTGAGTATATAGTCATATGCAGCAAAATACTGAATATTGTTCTGACCTGATGCTTTGAGGTTGACGCTTTTTTCCCTCTCTTGTAGTCGAGTCATCCTGCCTGTGTCTGTAGATGAGGTAAGTTCCTTTTCTTTTTTTATCTTTTGGAGACAGAGTCACCCTATGTAGTTCAGGCCGGCCTTGAGCTCACTTTTTGTTGTTGCCAAGGCTGGTCTTAAAACTCTCAACAGTCTTTCTGCCTCAGCCTCCTGAGTGCTGGGATTATAGGTGTGTGCCACCTGCTCTTTTTCTTTTCTTTTTTTTTTTTTTTTGCCGAACCGGGGATTGAACTCAGGCCCTTGCGCTTGCCAGGGAAGTACTTATTCCACTGAGCCATCTCCCCAGCCCTATCTTTTCTTATCCATACTTGCACGAAAGTGTTTGTGAGCATTGGCTCAGTTGGGCTGGGTTGCCTTACTATTTGTAAAGTTCTTATATTTGTTCTAGTGTGGTGATAACCAGTGCGACTTTTAGTTGCAGGAAGACATTGGTATATCTGGCAAGGTTAGCATTCTTTTTTTTTTTTTTTAATTTTATTTATTTATTTATTTATTTGTGTGTGGCCAGCTCAGCCCACCAGGGGGCGGGGCTGGCTGGCATGTGGTGCTGGGGGATTGAACAGCGGTCCCTGTGCTTTGCTAAGCTTATTCTGAGTAGGTGCTTTAGACCACTGAGCCATCCATCTCACCAGCCCAAGGTTAGCATTCTTGATGACTCTGAAAGACTAGCCTAGCTCCTTTCAACTGCTGGGACTATGCTCTTTGGGAATATGTTACTGATGGCATCATATATATATATAATATACATATATCATATACATATATATATATATATATGTATATGATATATATATATCCCCGCAGAACCGAGGATTGAATTCAGGCCCTTGTACTTGCCAGGGAAGCGCTTATTCCACTGAGCCATCTCCCCGGCCCTGGCATTAGGTGTATTTTGAACTCCAGCAACCCGAGGCTGACAGCTTTGTGGAAGCAGCCACTTAAAGGACTGAGCTAGGCCCAGGCCCCCATAGGTGTATTTTGAGGGACCTCTGTAAATTGCCTGGAAAGTGGGCATGGCTCTTCCTGGTTTTGTGACAAACTGGTAGGGCCAGAAATCTGAGGCCCTCTCTAGCCATGATAGGTGACTGGCAGGGCCAAAGCACAGAACCCTCCTTTTACGGAGGATAGGGAATGACAAATGGGCTTGGCTTGTTCTCCGGCCTTTTTTGGCAACTGGGTCTGGCATCCCAGTTTGTGGAGATCTGGCTGGCATCAGCATTTGTTATAGACGGTTCATAGGTCATGCTGATTAAGAGCTGGTATCATAGGCAGCAGAAAGCTGTCATGGAGACTTCCTGGTTTCACCCTTTCTTCGAGCTTCCTCCACTTTCCTCCCCTGGCATAGCCTTATTCTGTTGCCTTCAAAATCCACAGGCCCCACCCCAACTTCCCATGAAACTCTTTGGAAGCAGTTTGTCAGCCCACATGGTGCCCTCTATCATTGGGTTCTGTCTCTCTTGGGGCCAGCATGAAGTTTGTGTGATAACTTCCATTCTGTTCCAAACAGAAACTGGACCTTTGAAAAATCAAATCAGACCAACAGAGCACATAGCCCTTTTTAGATGTGAGAAATATGCAAGAAGGCTGGGCAGACTTAAGCCTAGACAGTCATCTCCAACAGCCAATTGGGCCATTAGGTTAAGAGTTGTGGAGACCTGAGAGAAGAGAAATGAGTTGAATTTGAACTTGGTCTGGAGGATCTTGCAGTATAGATAAGAGAGATAGGACTAGGGCTGGGGTGATAACTCAGCAGCATAAGCTTCTGCCTGGCAAGCACAAGGTCCTGAGTTCAATTCCCAGTACCAAAAAAAAAAAAAAAAAAAAAAAAAAAAGAAAAGAAAAGAAAAAAGAAAGAAAGAAAGAAAGAAAGAAAAAGATAGGACTACAGTAGTTGTGATGGTAAATGCCTGTGATCCCAGCTACTTGGGAGGCTGAAACAGGAGATTCACTTGATTCTAGGCTGGGCAATTTAGTGATTTGTAAGATCTTGTTTCAAAGTAAAACATAAGGGAATGTAGTGTTAAGGCTCTGTGTTTAGTTCTCAGTAACACAAAAACAAATGAACATGATAACCAAATGATGTTCCAAACTGGAATGCCAAGCCAAAGGGTCTAGTGTGCCTTTGCTCTGAAATGTGATGATAGGTTTTTTTTTGGGGGGGTGGGGAGACAATTTGCTCTCTGCTATATAGGATCACCTCCTCAATTCTATAAGTATTTCCTAGAAATATAGGGTTTCTTCAGTGTGGCATTTTGGGGCAGAATGCATCTTTTTGTAGGGCATTTATTTATTTCTTTAGGCGGAACCGGGAATTGAACTCAGGGCCTTGCACTTGCCACGGAAGTGCTTATTCCACTGAGCCATCTCCCCGGCTTTTTCTTGATAGCATACAGGTTGAGATTGTGTTTGAGAATGCTGCAGACCAAGGAAGGCCAGAATAATCCAGGAATAGATACCTCTCAGCTGCTCTGCCATCATGCAAGAAGGGCCAGAACCCTGATTGTTCATAATAGACCCAAGAAGGAGAGGGAACTTGTACATTGAGAGCGTGTACAACTGGAAGTTTTTAACTGGTGGTAATTTGTTTCCAATGTTGAGGAAGTTACATGCCAGGGCAAACTGAAAGCAAAAAGATTGAAATGCTGGTGCTGGTTAAGATTCATATATCTGTGTTGATATTCAGCTTGGTCTTGGTAAGAAACCATTGACCAAGAACAAGTTGTGGGCCTGGGGAGATAGCTCAGTGGCATAAGCACCTGCCTGGCAAGCCCAAGGTCCTGAGTTTGATACCCAGTAAACCCAGGTATAGTGGTGCACCTCTTGCACTAGAGGCTGAGGCAGGAGGATCACCATGAGCTCAAGGCCAGCCTGAACTACACAGTGAGACCCTGTCTCAAAAAAAACAAGAGGAGTCAGGGAGAAGGGGGGCCAGGGAGATGGCTCAGTAGAATAAGCACATGCCTGGCAAGCACGAGGGCCTGAGTTCAAAAAAACAAGATGGGTAATGTGGTGCAGGCCTGTATTCCCAGCACTGGGAAGCTGAGGCAGGAAAATTGGATTGTGTGACTTCAGGCTAGCCTGGCCTACATAGTGAGTGTTTTGTTTTTCTGTATTTTAGGGAAGGGTCTACAGGTTGTTCAGGGTCTCACTACTAGGTGGACTAGTGGTGATCAGACTGTTTACAGCTCCCAAGAGCTGAGATTACAGGTGTGCGCCACCATACCCAGTGTCAATTGCCAATGCAGTGATCTGGGGGAGCTGCAGGGCCAGGGCGGGCACTTGTACAGCAGGACAGGGGATTGAACCCCTGAACCCTGCACCTGCTTGCAGGTGCCTTAATCCACTGAGTTATTTGGCCAGCCCTTACATAGTTTAAGAATAGTCTAAATTATGGAGTAAGAGCCTGTCTAAAAAACAAAAGGGGAAAAATGAAAGGACCAGTCCCTGTCTCAAAAAAGGTTTAATCCCTGTCTCAAAAAAAAAAAAAAAAAAAAAAAAAGCCTCCAAGAAACAAAAACTATTGACAACGCAGTGCATGACCTGGTAGGTTAAAGCTGCTCTTTTAATGGCTTGAACCTTAGTTCCAGGAGATAAGAAAGTTCTTGAATGGGGAAGCCAAAGAAGAAATAAGTAATGATTGACCTTCTCAAGAATCTTTGTCAATAACCCCATCCTGACTCACCGTTCCCATGGGAACAGCCCAGAATCATGTAATTGGTAGATTCACTTCATAAATTGGAGGCCATGACTTAAGGACTTTGGAGTTTCTGATTTGTGGGAGAATAAGAAAAAAGAGAAGAGAAGGTCATGTCTTTATAATTGTTCTGGTGGCCTGAATCAATATTTGGGGGAAATATTAGCTTCTGTCTAGCCAGAGTTTTTGGCCTAACACTGCCAGGGTTTCTGGGCATCTGCAGCACAGCAAAAAAAATGCTCTGGCTGATTGACATGGGTGTGTCCACCTGTGAGTTCTGGCTCAGGCCAGCCCATTGATCACTGTGGGCTGAGCTGTTTTACTTCTTCTTTCCAGAGACTCATGGCACCACCCTTCTGTGGTATCTGACTTGATAGGCCCTTTGACGCAGTTCAGGCTGGCCTTCACTCACTTTGTAGCCCAGGATCCTCTCCTAGGGCTGGTATTACTGATGTGTGCCGCCACACCCAGCCTGTTTTTGTTTTTGTTGTTGTTTTGGTCCCAGGATCTAACTTTTTCAGTAGAGGTTTATTTTTTGTTTTTGGTATTAAGGACTAAAGCTTGCTAGGCAAGTGTTCTACCTCTGAACTAAATCCCTAGCCCCAGAGCAAATAACTCTTACTCAGCCTTCTAAGTAACTGGGACCAGAAGCTCATGCCACTATGCCTGATATGTTTCTGTTTTTCCTAGCTGAATGTTTTAGTTCTTTGAGACAAAGGGACAAATCTCAATGTTAGCGGAGTATTGTCCTATGCCTGTGATGACTGGAATCCTGGCTTCTTTAGGGTTCCTTTTCTGATTTAATGGTTAGATCCCCACCTCTACTGCCACCTACCCTGAGTCTGGTAGCTTTCCAGATACAGAACATCAATGCCAAAGGGAACCCTCTGACATGGAAAGTGTTTTACATGGAAAGTGTTCTGCGTTTGTAACTTGTACAGGTCAGTTTTACCCTTTTGGATTAACAAATCTGCCTTCACTTGTCTCATTGGGATTAAAGGATCAGAATATCAAGAGAGATTAAGGGGTAAATTGCCATCCAACAGACTGATCCTCTTAGAAACCTGCCCTCTGATTCCTGCAGTTGAGGCGAGACTCAGTAAAGACAATTAGTCTCTTCCCAGGGGCATGATCTAGGATGATCTCTACCCTCAAGCATGACCTAACACCATGATCTGGTAACCAGGCTCTGTTCCCTTTCTGCCCTTTAGGATAGCTGAGTCAGTGGCTAGATGCCCTTGTGACTATTCTCTGAAACAGAGTTCCTGCTCTTTCTTAGGAACCCCTGGCTCAGCCAAACCCTGACTCACTTGATAGGGGTTTCACGTGTGCTTTAGCTAGGTGGCAAAACTGGAAAGCACAGGGACAGTTTGGGGTTCTGTGTGGGCATTGAGATAGCACTGATGTTGCTTAAAGAATTAGTAAGGTCAGGGCCAGGGAGATAGCTTAGTAGAATAAGTACTTGTTAGGCAAGCACGGGCTCCTGAGTTCAATCCCCGGTACTGCCAAAAAAAAAAAAAAAAAAAAAGCAAGGTCAGACTGACTCTCACCCAGATGTTCCTTTTTTTTGAGGTGGGGGTAGAACAGGGTTTTGCTGTGCAGTTCAGGCTGGCCTTGAGTTCACTTTGTAGCCCAGGCTGGTCTGAACTCTCAATGATCCTCCTGCCTCAGCCTCCTAAAGTTCTGGCCCACTCCCAGCTTTCCAGATATTTCTCTCTCTCTCTTTCTTTCTTTCTTTCTTTCTTTCTTTCTTTCTTTCTTTTTTTTTTAATTGTATTGAATGTATTGTATGTGGTACTAGGAATTGAACTAAGGGCCTTGTGCATGCTAAGGCAAGTACTCTACCACTGAGCTACATCAGTAGCCCCATTCAGATGTTACTTTATGGGATTGATGGAGCCTTGATCAATTGCCAGGGCCTTTCATTAGCATTTTGTAGTGGGATTGTGCTTTGGAAATTAGGGTTCTTTCAGCTTTGTGGTAAGTTAGTGAATTGTACTGGTCCTATGCTTCCCCTTCCAGACTTTTCTTAGACATTTCTCTGCAATGCTTACCATAGAGGCAACCATAGAACAGGCTTCCCAGAGTGAGAGGAAGTAGACCTGGAAGTTCTGTTGCTTTGCTGGTGCCAACGGTGGTTTAGAGGTAGAAGCCCAGAGGTGCAGCTTCTGTTTCAGTGTCAAAGAGATCCCTGTCTTTCACTTGGAGGAATACCAGGAGTTTGGGAAAGGAGAGTGGAGGGTAAGGGAAACCTGAATCCCCTTTCCCAGCATACTAAATAACGAGCACTGTACTTGTTTTTCTCATGCTACCTGAACCAATGTGCCTGTTTGTTACCTCCTTGCAGCGATGGGGAAGATGCTTCCTTTGGTATATATAGGTGTAACTTTCTCTATTAACAGTAACTGTTCATTCTCTCTTCACCATACTTTTCTCTGCTAGTGGCTTTCCTCAGAGAGAAGGGGGCAGATGGGCAAAGCCTGGGCACTGCCTAAGGGGGTCAGAGGAAGCCAGTGATCTTGACTAGTGACTTGATAGAGTAGCATGTGACCCAAATAAAGAAAAAGCAAGCTTTTGCCATCTAGTAACTGCCAACACAGAAGGGGCACCAAGCCAGGAGACAGCGAAGGAATCTGTACTATCTTATCTATACTATCATATGGGAAACAGTAGCATTTACTTTAGCCCCACCAGGAACCTGGGATGTCTCAGATTTGATTGCCTCAAGAACTTTGAGTTCCTTGAAGGGTGAGGAGAGGCTAACCCTAGAAAAAAATCAAATAGGTGAGCTTGCTGTACATACAATATGGGTAGATTTTACAGAGCACTTGCCCTTGACAGTCATGTCTTTGGATCTGTTGGTTTGTTTTTTGTCTTTTTGGAGCTGGGTTTTACTATGCAGTTCAGGCTGTCAGGCTGGCCTTGAACTCACATCAGTTTTTCTGCCTCAGCCTCCCTGAGTGCTGGAATTACAGGTGTGCACCTAGCAGATTCTGTTTTAAATGAATGGAATAAAGAGATACAGTATCTGGCAACCAACCCAGATCCTGTTTTGTAGGTCTTAAAACAGTGCCAGAGACAAGTCCAGGGCAAAAGCTACTTTGTGAAAATTAGGTATCTTTGTCTGCCTCTTTAAACCTCTATGGATGAGGTAGAAATTAAACACAGTTGATGGCTAAAGCAAGGACATGGAGCAGCATTCTCAGTTTCTTTGGGTAGATTTGGACAGGCCTGTTGTAAAACTCCAGGATGAGCTTCTGAATGAGACCCCAGGGTCTGCTAGGAAGTTACCAGCAGCCCTACTGTGTGACTGTTGAGAATAATATGTGTTGCTCTGTTCCTCTAGTATCAAGTAGGGCAGCTGTATTCTGTGGCTGAGGCCAGTAAAAACGAAACGGGTGGTGGTGAAGGCGTGGAGGTCCTGGTGAACGAACCCTATGAGAAGGATGGAGAGAAGGGCCAGTACACACACAAGATCTACCACTTGCAGAGGTATGTGACTGAGGCTACAGCATGGGATGCTGGCTTGATTTGAAAGTGGGATGGGTGTCACCAGGTTCTTAGCTGGCCACTCAAGTTGCTTCATCTGTGACCATGGGCATAGGAGGTTTCTTTGTTCATTTAAAAAAAGTCCTTGTTATTTGTAAACAAAATAATAATTCTTGCTGCCCTGGGGTCCCAATCTCCAAACATGCCACTTTGTGGTTTTTTGGGGACCTCTCCATAGTCTGTAAGAACAGAAGTAGTTTTTGTGTGTGAAATGGGTATTTGTTTTCTTTATTGTTATTTACATAAATTGAATCCTACTACTATATGTATAGTTTTTTGTTTTTTCTGTTTTTGTATATCAGGTTGTAGCTGCCTCTCACCCCTGGCATATTCTGTCTCATTATTTTTTACTTATTTACTTTTTATGTATTTGATACAGGGTCTCACTATGCAGCTCATACTTGTAGTGATCCTACCGTTTTCAGCCTCCCCAGTGGTGAAGTTACAGGCAAGTGCCAGTTCAGTGCACCCTGGGCCAGCACAGTGCTGGGGATCAAACCCTGGTCTCTGTGCTTGCCTAAGTAGGCTCTTAGCCTGCTGAGCTGCCTTGTCAGCTCCTGTCTCATTCTTTTAAAGCACATACAGTATTCATAGTATCATTAGGCAGATGTGCTGTAAGCTGTTCAACCAGTTCTGTCTTGATGTATATTTGTATTTGTCATTTCCAGATGTCTCTATACTCCATTAAAGTTCTTTTGACATAAATCTTATGGGTTTTTGTTTGTTTGGTGTCAGCAATTGAACCTAGGGATTTCACACTGGACTGTATCCACATCCCTTTAGTTGTTTTTTTTTTTTATTTTTTTATTTTTTTTGGCAGAACCGGGAATTGAACTCAGACCCTTGCTTTTTGCCAGGCAAGTGCTTATTCTGATGAGCCATCTCCCCAGCCCCTCCCTTTGTTTTGTTTTTTTAAAAGATGTTTCCTTTATTTCTTTTTTCTTTTTTTTATGGTCAGCTCAGCCCACCCTGGGGGCGGGGCTGGCATGGCATATGGTGCTGGGAATCGAACCGAGGTGCTGGGAATCGAACCGAGGTCCCTGCATGCTTGCCTCAGCAGACACTTTAGACCACTGAGCTATCTCGCCGGCCCCTCCCTTTGTTTTTGACACAGGATCTCACAGAGTTCTTACATTGCCCAAGATGGGCTTGTACTTGTAATTTCCTACCTTAGTCTCCCAGAGAGTTTAGATTTCATGCCTGTACCACTGTACCCGGCTCCAATTTCTTTCTTTCTTTCTTTCTTTCTTTCTTTCTTTCTTTCTTTCTTTCTTTCTTTCTTTCTTTCTTTCTTTTTTTTTTTTTTTTTCAGAACCAGGGATTGAACTCAGGCCCTGTGCTTGCCAGGGAAACATTTATTCTACTGAGCCAACTCCCTGGCCCCTCCAGTTTCATTTAAATTTGGTAAAAAAAACCCTGACCCGCCATAATCTCACACTCTTATGATGGAACATACTAACCCAGAAGGGTTCAGGATTTTCCAGGGCAGGAGCAGGAGAAAAGCAACTCTGTGAAGTGGGAGAATCTCAGTGATCCTATTCCCTGGTCACAGCTCTCTTTGTTCTTGAAGTTTCTTTTGGCTTCTCCATTCCAACTGACTATTAACTATTAGCAGTAGGTTAAAATGAGCTCTATATAAAGCCTTCCAGATAGATAGATAGATAGATAGATAGATAGATAGATAGATAGATAGATATTACTGGGAATCAAACTCAGAGCCTTGCGCTTGCCAGGCAGGCATTTGTGCTGCTGAGCTATATCCCCTGCTGTATTCCAGTCTCAGATGCCAGTGCAGTGCACCTGAGGGTGACACGTAGGGGCAGGCAGCATGTGGTGCCAGGGATCAAATCTCAGTCCCTGTACTTGCCTAAGCAGAATTTTTTTTAGCACATTACTGTCAACTTGAACCAACATTGGTACATGCATAACTATCATTGGGCACCTTGTAGTACCCATGGTACAAACAGATCTAACCATTTGTATCAATTATTTACTAATTAATAAAAACCTGCCTGGGGCCCAGGAAATAGCTCAGGGGCTTAAGCGCCTGCTTGGTAAGCACAAGGTCCTGAATTCGATCCCCAGTTTGGAAAAAAAAAACGTAAAAAACTGCCTAATGGGATAGTCATGCATATACCGCTGGTGGTTCAAGCCACCCAACAGTGAGACATACAAATTATGGCCCATTGTGATTATGTTAAAAATGACTTTGAAAAGAGATGGGCCAATTAGTAGCAGAGAGGAGGTTCATAAATAAGGTTAAGACCTGTCTTACCTGCTTCCTATCAAGAGCTACTACCACTATTCTTTCCTTAACATAGGAACAGCCTACTACAAAAGAAAGCAAACTGTTCCTATCACTATTCCCTGTCCTCAGGAGGATAAAAGCCTTCCTTGCAAATTAAGTTCTGTTGACACATCCTTATTCTTAAAATGTCCATTTCTTTTTGTCAGTGGCCTGAATTACTGCTAAGCTCTCAGCTAGCCTCCTTGCTTTCCAGCTCTTAACATAGCTTTGAGTGATCTGACTAGAAGATCTGTTCCTGTCCTGCTTGAAAGCTGTAGATGGCTTCCCTTTGCTCCTGGGACAAAGGCTATACTTTTCTGACCTAACTTATAAGATCTTTCATGACCCAGCCCCTGTATGTTCCTCCAGCCTCTTGCGTTCCTCACCTTGTACTTTGCACCAGCTCCTCTGAACTTCTCTCTCCCAGCTTAGCCTGTCCCACTCCCATCCCTCTGTCTAGCTTAGTCCTATATAATCCTTATTTTGTGTCTTTATGTCATCCTGACTTTCCAGAGGATTCTGCCCAGAGCCTGTCCCTCCCCTACATGTTTTTGTAGTGCTCAGACCCGGAGAACCCTGTGCTCACCCACATACCTTTAGTGTTGTCATTTGCTTAGTTATGCTCTCCACTCTTTGGTTTCTCTGTGTCCCAGCAAGTATCACCTGTGTGTGAGTGACTCTCAGGCTTGCTTTGAGGTCACAGAGATAGATATCTGTAGGGTTAGTTTTTTCTTTTAGGCTTGAGGTATTAGTACGATGAAGTTGCTAGAGCTGCTAAAAATTAATAACCAAGAAAGAGCTATGCTTGGTGATACACGTGTAATCCCAGCACTCTGGGAGCCTGAGCAGGAAGAGCCCAAGTTCCAGCCAGCTTGGGTAACAAGAGGCTTAGCAAGAGCCTGTCTCAAAAAAAAAAAAAACTGGGACTATAGCTCAGTGTGAAGATGCTGGGTTCAGGGGCTGCGGAGATGGCTTAGTGGAATAAGCACTTCCCTAACAAGTGCAAGGGCCTGAGTTAAGTCCCTGGTTCCATAAAAAAAAAAGATTCTGGGTTCAATCTCTATTAAATGTGCCCCCTTAAAACATCTGGTTGATACAATATTTGGTTTGTTTGTTTGCTTTTGGTGCTGGGGATTGAACTCACGACCTTGCGCTTGGCAGGCAGACACTTATGCCACTGAGCTAGCTCCCTGGCTACTATTCATATTTTTTCACAACCTGAGATGAATATTGAGTAGAAGAAAATATTTGTCCTGGAAAGCAGATGACCCTAAAGCCCACCTGTTTTCTTAGAACTTAGAAAAATAAACCAGATTCTATGGGAACCCACATTCTGGGCTAGTCAGCTAGTCACTCTGGCTCATAAACCTAGACTGAGGAGCACAGTCCATCTTTGGCAGTGCACTCTTGCAGATGCTGTTTTTGCACGTTATCCTCATTCTGCATAGGATGTGCACTGGGCTCACTGAGTTCTGGAAAGAATGTGTAGTGAGCATATGATGGCCAGTAGGCCACAGTGAGTAGTAGTGTGGGGCCTTCCAGGCTACCCACGTCCTGGCAGGTGGTGGATGGCAGAGCAAATTTTGGGCAATGTTAGTAGCCATTCATGCTGAGGTCTGAGGCTCTGGCGTCTCACAAACCAGTGTAACATGCTTAATTCTTGAAAACTTGTCAACTCCCTTTGGAAGAGGCTGGGTCTGTGGATTGAAGAACATGATGTAAAAGCCTGTTGTCTCTTTCCTCTCCTGCATCTTATCACTCCTTTTTTGATACAGCAAAGTACCCACATTTGTCCGAATGCTGGCCCCAGAGGGAGCGTTGAATATACATGAGAAGGCATGGAACGCCTACCCTTACTGCAGAACCGGTGAGTGCAGACCTGGCTAGAAGCTGAAGTTTGGGCCCCATGGCAGACCTGATGGTGTAGGCAAGTAGGCCCGGGCTTGGGCTTCACATCCTACCTTTCTTTTCAAGACTAGGAAAGTAAAAGGATGAACCTGGGGGCTCCTAGCCTGAGGGACTAGTGTTGTCTTTTCATCTTTTTTTTTTTTTTAATTTCAGGGAAGGGTCTACCGGGTGTTCAGGGTCTCACTGTTAGATCAGACTCATAGTGATTCTCCTGTTTACAGCCTCCCAAGTGCTGGGATTACAGATGCGGGGCCAGCATGGCAGGCCTGGGTATTGAACCTCCAGCTCCTGTGCCTGCTTGCAGGCGCTTTAATCTGCCAAGCTATTTGGCCAGCCCTCTGTTTTTTTTAGTGTGTTTGGTACAGGGTCTCATTACAAAGCTCAGACCTTAGTGATCCTCCTGTTTTCAGCCCCCCTGGTGCTGAAATGACAGGGGTGCACCATCACACCCAGTCTGGGGACAGGGGTGGCCTGCTCAGCTCACACAGGGCCAGGGCTAGCTGGGCATGTGCCAGGGATCTTACCCTAGTACCTGCACTTGCTAGGCAGGTACTTAGTCTGCTGAGCTGTCTCGCCGGCCCTACTAGTGTTGTCTTAATAACTCATTGGTCCATGGAGTAAGAGCCACAGTTTGGTCACAGTTTAAGAGCACACACCTAACCCCTCCTACCTTGGGATAGTGTGATAATTTTGATTTTTTTTTTTTTTTTTTTTTTTTTTTTTTTTTTACTGCTTGCAAAATAATGTTGCCCATATATATTTTGGAAAATACATAAAAGCAGAACACAGTCACCACCAGTGACTTTCAGCTCTAGGTAGTCACTTTTTTTTTTTTTTTTTTTTTTTTTAGTACAGAGTCTGCAGGATCTACGTGTCTCACTATGTAGATCAGACTCGTAGCAATCCTCCTGTTTTCAGCCTCTCAAGCACTGGGATTACAGGGGTGCGCCACTACGCCAGTCTCAATCACAATTTCAGTGAGCTGGAGTTTGAATCCTAGCCACTGTGCTCTGCCTAAGCAGGCGCTTTAGTTCGTTGAGCTAGCTATCTGGCCCTTGGGATTTTTTTGTTTTTTTTGGTGGTACTGGGGATTGAGTGCACAGGCACTGCAGTAATCTACCACTGATCTACACTCCTACCATTTTAAAATTTTGTGACAGGATCTCACTAAGTTGCCCAGCTTGGCTTTGAACTAGAAATCATTCTAATATTTAGCCTCCCAAATGGTTAGCAATACAGTACCATGGTAGGCGGATAGATTTTAGATCATATGATGACTCATTTGTTACATTTGTTTTTCTTCAGTAAAGAGAACATTGACCTGTCACTAGGAAGTCTAGAGCTGAGAGCAGTGGTACATGCCAATTAAGTCCAGTTACTCTTAAGGCTGAAGCAGGGAGGTTTTTTGTTTTTGTTTTTGTTTTT